TCTCTAAAAATTTTTGACACGTGTCATATCATCTAATTGGTGCATTTAAAATGCTACTAATATCTACCTTTAATTCAAATAAATATGTACATAGAAAATAAATCGGTTTATAATTAATTAGAATATCTTTGGCAATATCTTTAGTAACCAATTCAAATCATAAATAAAATCAAATCCCCTCATTTAGGCATTTTTTCAGTATATGAAAAAAAAAACATTTTAGTTTTCTTGAAAAACTAAAAAATCTATTTTTCCCAAATTCAATTTTATTTTTCCTGTCACTTTTCCCCTCTTAACTTTTTTATATTTCAGTTTTTCCGTCTAAGTTTTTTTATAGGACTCTAGATTATTATTCCAATCTCCGACAAATACATCAGGTAATTAATCTAGCACCATCCAATATTAATGTTATTTTTTAATTTGTACATTTTTTATATTTCAATTATTTTTTATTTTTTATTTTTTAGATTGTTGGTTTATTAATTCCTACTCCGAATTATTATTTCGATCTCTAAAAAATACATCAGGTAATTAATTTAGCATCATCTAATATTTATGTTATTGTAATTTGTGTATTTCATCTACCCCAGTCCAATATAATTTTTACTTAAGTTTTTAGTATTTTTTTCATTTTTAATAGTTATGAAATAATATTATTAGTTTTGGATCTTGAGTTTTATTTCCAAGAAATAACTCCTCGATATTTTATCTACGATCCAAGACACTATTAATTATTGAAATATTATTCAGGTACTTATTCTACAACCCTTGAATAATTATTTTTAATTTAATTTTTTAAATGTTTTTTATATTACTGTTGAAAAATAAATCGGCGATTTCTAATCTTCAACCAATGATGCTTTTGCTGCTATATTCAGATAAAGATTTTTTTTAAAAATATTTTTTTAGTTTTTTAAAATATTACAACATCTATTTATTTTACTTTAATTTTTGTATTATTTTTTACCCCTTTTAATTATTTTCAATTTTTTTTAGATTGTCAGTTTTTTTGTGTATGTAATTTTATCTTCAATGCATGGCTCTTTAATTGCTTAGAGGAAAATAATTCAGGTATTTCAACTACCCCCCATCCAATATAATTTTTATTTTAATTTGTGTAATATTTTTTAATTTTATTGTTATGAAAGATAGTAATCTTTTAGAACTTGAGTTTTAATTCCAATCTACATATTATAATTTGAAATTTGTTTAATTTTTATATAATTAGAAATTATTATTTCACTAATTTTCAAATTTAATTTGTATTTTATTACATTTTTAGATAGTTGTGAAAATATATTTTTAATTATTTATTATATTGTGATTAAAATAATAAATATTTCATAATAAATATATATTCGGGTTTTTAAAATATTTTAGCAATTAAAATATATTTTTAGGTTTTTAAATTAATATAGCGATTAAAATTAATAAATAAAAGTATTTTTAATTATTAAAAATATTATAGCAATTATAATATATTTTTTAAAATATATTTAGGTATTTTTAAATTTTTAGAATATCGTTGGCAATAACTTTAGTAACTAATTCAAATTAAATATTCACATAAGGAAAAAATGAATTATAATCAGATATTTAAATATAGAAAAATTAATTTATAATCAATTAGAATATTTTTGGCAATATCTTTAGCAACTAATTAAATCGTGCGGGTTGCTCGTGGGGTCGATCGGGTGAGGTGGCCGATAAATATTGTCTTTTGACTCGGTTATGCAAGTTGTTGGCTAACACAGTAGGCCGAATGCGGGTTGTTAGAGTCGTCTTGGCTATTCATCTAATTAGGCAAGCGGTAAGACACGTGTCAACTTCTCTAACGCCTCGTTTGGTACGTAGGAATGGACTCAAATGAGAATGGAATGGAAGAATAAATGGAATGGAATGTACATGGGAATAGAATGTTCATTCTCATTCTCTTGTTTGTGTGTGTTTGTTGAATGAAGCTAGAATGAAAATCTCATTCTGATTTCCATGTTTGGTATCATTAGTTCACAAGTGAGAATAAAATCTTATTTTCTAATAATGCCCTTACAACAACATAGATTTTTTTAAAAAGATAAAAAAAATTAATGATAATAACTAAATAATTTTATTTTTAAAAATAAACTTTATAAAAATAGGCAATATTTCGTGTTTCTATCCTAGAATCCATTTCCCTATATATGCAAGCCAAAGGAAAAACATCTTAATCAATTGTTCATACATATCCATGTTATTAATCTGATTATGTCGCTCAATGAGACAAGATTTTTAGATTTATTTTTGTTTTCAATGGGGCGTAATTGGAAATTATGTAACTAATTTGATTCCTACTTGAATGGGAATGAGCATTCCTTAGAATGGGCATTCCAACTTCTAAAAAATGATTATGTTTGGTATGGGGGAATGAGAGATGGGAATGGTCATTCCATTCCACCACATTCCCGCGTACCAAATGAGGCGTAAGGAGATTAGCACTTGTTAATTTTTTAGGCTATAACAGTTCACAATTGCTTAAGGGGGCGTAAATCTCCCAAAAGTATATAAAAATCTTATTAGGAGTTGGTTGAGGGTAGAAAAAACATAGGTTGTCCATAGGAAACCGCCCACGAATCCATTAGAGGATGCATCTTTGCATATCTTTGTACAACAATCACTACTGCAAAGGGGACTATTGGCGACGGACAAATCCGTCGCCAAAAGTCAAAATTCTGTCGCTAAATCAATTAGCGACGGAAATATAGAAATTCCGTCGCTAAAACACCGTCACTATTTTCAGGGTAGGTAAATCTACCTTTAGCGACGGCAAATCCGTCGCTAAATATCACCGACGGATATATAGCGACGGAAAATCCGTCGTTAATGTCGATTTTTTTGACGACGGTATTTTCCGTCGCTATATATTTAGTCGTCACTATTTTTTATTGATGACGGAAAATCCGTCGCCAAATTCTATTTTTTTGGCGATGGTATTTATATGCTGGCGTGTCAGTTTTCCGTTGCTAAAAGATCTTTTAGCGACGGAATAGCCGTCGCTAAAAGTAATCTGAAATTTTTTAAAACATTATTTGAAAATTTGAAATTCTTGTACGATATATTTCACAATAATAACATGTACAATAAATTTACACAACACAAGCACATATAACACATATTTCATTCTCACGCATATATAACAATTATTTCACTAAAAACATAATAAATATCCCAACATCATAAATATTATTTATACAGCACACTCATAGCTTTCAATGTTAAAACAAATAAAATCAATCCCGATCATCATCATCCTCATCACCAACTCCACCTTGTCGAGAAGTCCCAGCCTAAAAATATAAATAAAACGTTATAGAGCAATACGTACATCATCAAAAACTGAATTTTATAGTAAAGTAACAAATTATAAAACAACAAGGCATGACATGCAAGTATAGCAATAATAGAGTATCATGGCATATTCTTACATGTTATATGATTCAGAGAGTATCATGGCATATTCTTATGTATTATACGCAAGCACGCACATGTTTTTAACAACGCACGCACACACTCTAACCTCACCTGCACACACGCACGCACTTGTACCTATCTCCACCAACACGCACACACGCACGCACGAGTACCCAGCTCAACCCAATCCCCACACTTCCCCCTCCCCCACCACGACCAAACCCAACATCAAGCACGCACATAACGACCACGACAATACAACACATGCAACACCACAACACAACAATAACAACACCACCACCACCACAATAACAATCCCCCACCCACGAACCAACCAAACTCCTACCCCCCACCCCCTCCCCCTCCATCATCATCACCACCACCACCACCACCACGACGAAAACACCCACCAACCAACAACATAACCAACGACCCTACGCACGAACGCCCCACAACAAAATAAAATAACAACCAACTAACCAACTCACTAGCCAATACAACCATCGCTACGCACGCACGCACCATCAACACCAACATCACATAAAAACATTAAGTATATAATTTTAGTTGTGTTTCTTTGTGTGTAACAGTTTGTGTGTAACAGTTTGTGTGATATCATTTAGTCACATGGCATACTCGTAACTAAGTAAGAATTTTATATTTAATTCATTTAATTAAAAAAGAAATATACATATATATATATATTACCTGATCCGCCAAAAACCGTCTCCTATATGCCTCCTGAGCATCAGAAGGCAGAGTCGATATGAACTGGGTGAATTCCAGCTCCCTCTGCTCCCGGCGCCTCCGTTCTTCCTCCGCCATCTGGAGTAGCTCCGACTCCCGACGCGACTGCCAATCTTCCATCGCTTTCATCCGCTGCTCCATAGTCGGGTCTTGAGAAGAACTGCATCCTGGTGGAGCTGCAGACTCGTAGGTGCTACTGGACTCGTACGGCCGATGCTCGGATCCTCTCCACCTGTATCTGTTCTTCCTACTCGGTCTAATGACCGTCTCGATAATGCTATCCTCTTCCTCTCTACTTAATCGGGTCGGAGTGTTAGAATCGACCTGAGTCTGTGATAATTGCTCCTGCACCTTAGCATGTAATTTCTCCTGCGATATACCAAAACAACCCGGTCAATTCTAACACATTTAAAATACATTGTTATAAAAATTAAATATACAAATTAACTGCTACTTACAGCCAGATCCCGGTTCTGCGCTTTCTTCACTTCATCGGCGTAATTTGGACTCCAACCAGTCAGAATACGATCTGCAAAATGCCCGAGTTCTCCCCTTCCCTATTTTATTCACATATATCATTAACTCATAACACATAAATTATACTCAAATTGATAACCTAAGAGCTAATATATTATATACCTCAAGCGCCAATTGATGATAATGCTGGCTGAAGGACCTGGAGCCCCCGTGATGCTCGTAACTGCGGGGCGCATTGCGGTTCCTCCTTGCTATTTCAGCTTGTTCCTGCAAAAGAATGTTAAACAGATATAATATAGAATTTCAAACAATAAACGAAGATATATACTTCAATAATACCTGAACTTCGGCCGTGTCCCAATAATCGCAAAGTGCAAAAAAATCAACCCCATCGGCGCGCCGCAAAGTGCAAAAAAATCTACCCCATCTACGCGCTCATCAAGATGCCAGTAACGCTCCCAATCTTCTGTTCTTTGAATAAAATATTTCTTCTTCAGCTCAAACCGCCACCTCTTGAATGATAGATTGATTTGCGTGAAGCAGTAAGTCCAGGCACGAGCGTAATCGTCAAGAAAGAAAAATCGCTTCAGCATACAATGAAAAAAGAGATACAAATCAGTGTGTTAAACAAAATAATAAAATGACTAATAATTATGAGAATTAAAATAAATGACTCACACATATATATCGCCAACAAGCCACCAGCGCATCAATCCGCTGCGACTTCCACGTCAAATATATGTTGAAGAAATCATGTCTCCTGGCTAAAGAGGCGAGGAAATTGTTAAAAGAGTTAGCAAATGGCCCGACAGGCACGCCGTTCTCCCATCGGATCACGGCCCTCCGACGAATATCTGGGACGAGGTTCTGTGGCTTGGTACTACTGCGGCCGCGCCTAGTAGGTCGCTCGGTACCTACGAAAAAATGAAATTCAGGCGAAATATAAATCAATCAATATCGATAATACAAATTAAAATATTAACAGATAAACTATAAAAATCTATACACACCTTTCAATTCGAGGCATCTACGCCTTGCTTGTTCATACCTCTGCTGTGCGATAAGTCGCAAATCATGATAAGCATCCCAATCCTCCTTCACCTTGGCCGGGTCGTGGGCTCGCTGATCCGGAATAGAATCCGGCGGTAGTGGCGCAGCTTCTACAGCTGCGCTATATGGCTCATATCGGCGCTCCTCCAATACATCTGCATGCGGAGGAGGCGACGGCGGCATCTCTGCATGCTGAGCAGGATCAACGAGTGTCTCCGCATCAGGTGGAGCATCTCCTCGTCCTGTGTCCTGTGGCGGCCCGTCATGTGTAGCAGCGATGCGGCCTGCGTAGGAAATGTGAAAAAATAATGTTAGGCTCGTATTAATAGTTTATAGAAATGTACAGATATAATAAATAAATAAAAATACCTGACGTAGAGCCATGTGCGTCGCCTCCAGAATGTCTACCAATAAGTCTCTCAAGCGCTCTCTTACGTAATCCTTTTGTCATCTATACTTTGAAAACATAATGAGTACCCAACAAAACTATAATACATGACAAAAACTGATACATGATAACCAGTCAAACAGATAATATAAAGGCAATACTATACTACATAACACAAACTGATACATGTTAACCAGTCAAACAGATAATATAAAGGCAATACTATAATACATGACAAAAACTGATACATGATAACCAGTCAAACAGATAATATAAAGGCAATACTATAATACATAACACAAACTGATACATGTTAACCAGTCAAACAGATACATGAATGTTCTTTTTAAATCATAACCAAGCATTATATTATTATGATGATGTTGAGGCTCTACTCTGCGACCGTGTGCGGTTAGCCTGCGACCGTGTGCGTGCAGACAAAAGGACTGTCCTTATAGTTTTATCGACTCTACCGTGGACTCGTTTTTTGATTTTACGCCTTGGCTCACATATAATCGCAGGTACATCAGGGCGCGCCAGTGCAATTTCATCCACCAGATTATTTTGTGTCAAGGAAAACTCAGCAACTGTTTCGTCGGCCAAGATAACATCTTCATGATCTTCATCAGACACGGCTTCATGAATGTAGGATCTAGGCGGATTCTTAAGGACAACCCATTCGTCATTTTTCATTATATCTTTGACATAAAAGCACTGTTTTGCGTGAGCAGCTAACATGTACTTTTCAGTCTGATATATTTCCTTGTTAAGATTAACGAGTGTGTAACCGTAGTCATCCTTCGCCTTTTTCAGCTCACTCCAACGAACCTTAAACATCACATGTCTGACTTCATTATTAATCCCATAGAAAATCTCCACAATGTCTTCTACCTGACCGTAGCAATAGATTTCACCTTGTATCGGATTTAGATCTTTTGAACTAGCGTATGACAGTTGCGAGAAGGAGCAGAACACACCGCTATTTTGCGTTTGTCGTCTCTCTTCGAAACCGATGGTGTTAAACCTAAAGCCGTTGATACAGTAGCCTCCATAACGCTTTACCACGTTAGAAGGACCTCTGGCATATAAACATATTTTCTCAGGCAGGTTAACCCCATTCGTAATACGTCGGTCAACCTTTAAGAAAAGAAACAAATAGTTTAAATATCTGTTGTCAGGCACATATTTGATATACGAATCAGAAATGTAAATAAATCTTACTTCACCCTTCAGCCATGCAGGGAATTGTCTAGAGTGTGTGTCCATAACTCTTTTGTTTTTTGTTCTGCATTTAAGAATAGTCTGGACATATCGGATGTGAAGCCTAGAATAAAATCATTTACAACAGTTAAATAGAGATAGTTATTGTGATGTGATATGATCTGATTCAAACAGTTAAATACTTACGTCGCGTATATGTTAAATGTAGTATCATTGCTCAAGATATATGTGTGGGCTTGATCTAGCTCCATTCTGGGAAATCTAGTGTCCTCTCCACGATCATTATAGAATGTTCCGTCAATTATTCGTTGGGGACGGTTGAGCCTTATCTCCACACCCCGCAAGTAACGAGAGATTAAATTCAAACTCTCATTACTTATATAGTTCTCTGCTATCGATCCTTCAGGACGTGCACGATTATGCATCAAATGTTTCATGAAACCCAAATACCTACAAGCATATAGTTTCATGATTTGTGACAAAATAAAACTGATATACGTAATTTAACAAATATTAATTGAGCATTATAATAATAAATACCTCTCCACAGGGTACATCCAGCGATATTGAACTGGTCCTGCGATGCGGGCTTCATATGCTAAATGTATTGTGAGATGCACCATGACCGTAAAGAACGAGGGTGGAAATAGAATTTCCATTTTACACAGTGTATTGGCTACACGTCCCTCTAATTCTTCAAACTCCCTGACATCAATCACCTTGGATCACAACTGCTTGAAGAAACCGCAATATTCTATTACCACCATCGCGAGTTCCTTCTCAGCATGTCGCAACGCAACCGGGAGAAGTTGATGCAATAGAATATGATGGTCATGTGTCTTGAGTCCTAAAATTTTCCTGTCCTCAATATGCACACTTGCTGAAATGTTTGAAGCATAACCATCCGGTGTCTTCACGGACTTTAGAAATAAACACATATTGTGGATCTCATCCTTCGTCAGTGTGACACGGGAGGCTGGGGGTTCAAACTTTCAGTCACCCTTATCTATAGCTTGCAGTTCGGGACGGATGTTCAATTCTGCTAGGTCTCGACGTGCCCTTAAGTCATCTTTTGATTTTTTCCCGTCCTGCAACAAAGTGTTCAAGAGATTCTCGCATATGTTCTTCTCGATGTGCATGACATCCAAGTTGTGACGTATTTTTAAACTTCTCCAATATGGCAATTGATAAAATATGCTGAATTTTGACCATCCATGCGGAAGTTCAGTACCCTTAGAGACACGCCCATGCGATTGGACAGTGCGAGGTTTATTTCCTTTCGAATTGCCTTTAAGAAATTGCTTACCCTTTCCCCTTCCCTTCCAATTTTGCTTCAATATTTTTCTCCTAACCCCAAATGGATTTTCTTTGTTGAATCTTTTCTTTCCAAATATTTTTTTAGGTAGAGGATGTAGAAGCTCAAATATTTCTTCCCCGGCCAGCCTTGGTGGTGCAAGTCTGTTTTCTGGATTGCCGTCGAACTTTCCTACTAACTTTCTGAACTTGTGCCATGTAGATAACCATCTTCTGTGTTGCCAATAACAGAACTTACGGCTGTATTTCAGGAACTTTCCCTCATAATCTGACATGCAAACCGGACAAGCAATCTGACCCTTCGTCGACCATCCAGACAAGTTAGCATATGCTGGAAAGTCATTAATTGTCCACATGACCATTGCACGCATACGGAAAGCCTCCTTACCATAAGCATCGTAAGTGCTGACGCCTTCATCCCAGAGAAGCTTCAAGTCGTCAATTAATGGTTGGAGGAAAACATCAATGTCATTTCCAGGAGAATATCTTCCAGGGATCAAGAGTGACAGTATCATGTATGGCTGCTTCATGCACATCGACGGCGGCAGGTTGTACGGTGTCAGCAACACTAGCCAGGTAGACCAAGTAGAGCTCATTACTCCAAACGGATTAAATCTGTCGCTAGCAAGCCCCAACCTAATATTCCGAGACTCCTTACCAAAGTCAGGGTATATACAATCGATGTGCTTCCATGCCTCACCATCAGCAGGATGTCTCAATTTCCCGTCCTCTTTGCGGTCGGTCGAATGCCATCGCATATTCTCAGCCAGCTCGGCAGACATATAAAACCTCTGCAGCCTAGGAATAATTGGAAAATATCGGAGAACCTTCATAGGGATTCTGCTCTGTTTATTGGATGATATGCCTTCAGATGTGCCCGTATGTTCTTTCCAGTGTGGTACATGACACGTCGGACATTCCTCTAGACCTTCAATACCCTTGTTGTACAAGATGCAGTCATTCGGACAGGCGTCTATCTTTTTGTAATCAAGCCTCAGGGTATCAACAATCTTGTGAGCTTCATAATAAGTTGCGGGGATGCTCTTCTCGCCGCCTGGAATGACTTTCCTGAGCAAGTCTAATAACATCTCGAAATGTGTAACAGCCATCCCACTGAGTGTTTGGATATGAAGAAGCCTCAGCATAAAAGAAAGCCTTGTGAACTCGGTGCAACCCTCGTATAACGGTGACTCGTTTTCTTCAACAAGTCTCATCAATCGGGCTACATCTTGAAACATATCAGTAGTGTTAACATCACTCGAAGACGGCACGGTAAGAATATCTTCCAACATATCAGTTGTGTCAATTGTCGGATTGTCGACATCAGTAAACTCTTCCTCTAATTGCATCACCGGGACGCCTTCACCGTGATGACTCCAAAATACATAAGAGCTATCAAATCCATTGATTGACAGATGGAAACTTACGTCACTCCTAGTGAGCATTTTATCATTCCTACAATTCTTACAAGGACAAAAAATCAACCCGCTGAGTGACCGTAGAGGGTTGGTGTCAGAGTAGGCTAAGAAAGCTTCTATCCCATCCTTGTATCGAGTGTCTAGATGCCTTCGATCACGTGGTATGCCCATGAACGATTTGTCAGGAATTGTCCGCATCTAGAATTTAAAAATTAATGGAAGTGAGCATATCCCTACATATATCATTTTAAGTTATAGGACAAGTGTGTGTGATCGGCTGTCAGAGGAAGGCTTCTATCCCATTAGGTATGTAAACGTAGCGTGTATATGTATTTACGTGTGTTCAGGTGTACTTTTATTTCGTCAAAATTTCGGCAGCACCTACCCGTTGTTCTCCGAGTACACTATAGTACACGGAGAACAACGAGTAAGCGCCGCCGAAACTCTGACGAAAAGAAAGTACACAAGAACACACGTAAATACATATGCACGCCATGTTTACATACCTAACCCGTCCAAACTGGACAGATCCAATAAATATTTATATATAAGCCCTCTGTCACATACGAGTACGGAAAGGTTATCGAACCAAACACGATGGTATCGTATCCGCCAACAATCTTGTACGCGTATGTGACAAGTAAATAAAGAGATTATATATAGTATTTATTGGACGGGGTATTCTACGGCTCGAAAATATGAGTGTACTGTGTGTGCAATTTCTATGTAATTAGCGATATAATAGTTACGATAACCCCTCACAATCACCTCACCCTCATTGTAACCATCACCCTAACCCTAACCCTAAACCTCACCTTCACCATCCCCTAACCCTAAACCTTAAAAAACATCGGGGTTTAATCCTTAAAAAAAACATCGGGTTTAATCCTTAAAAAAATATCGGGGTGGTCAGATATCCAACTGAGTTACCACCAGCAAGTGGTTAATCATATTATTCAATTCTTGATGTGCATGAAAATTACAAAATATTCAAGAATTAAACCAACTACAAAAATGTGACTATGAAATCCATAGATCGAGTACCAAAAATTGTACGTCAAAACCTTCCCCAATT